CGCTTGCATCGTTTAAATTTAAATAACTATAGTGTATTTTTATGTATGAGAGAGTAATAAAACAATAAATTATGTATGCAAATCCCTAAACTGTTGATACGGGTGACTCAATGAAAAACAGATATTTGTCAACAAGTTTAAAGAAGTATATAGGAAAACAATTTTAAATTGAGTATGACCACCAGGTATAAAGGTTGGAGCAGAATAGAATACAATAGTTGTGAGGGTTACTAATCCCTGAATAAGGTTGCCAGTGTCGGAGTGATGGAGGTTAACAGGTACTAATGAATTTGCAAGAAATGTAAGATGTTTATTTTATTGGTTATATATAACCAATAAAAGTTTAATAAGTACCTACCTATTTGCAAAATAAAGTTTAATTCTTTAGATAAAATAAAACGTTTTTATTTTATCTGAAATGAGTTCATTCCACGAAATAAGGGTTTCAACAATCAAACATTTAATTCTTTAATTCCAGGAATCTACAACAGTAATTGACTAGATAATTACCTTCTAAACTTATTCCACAGAAAATGTGATAGTGGGTTTTTCCATTTTGTAGGAAGGTCCAAGTGGCGTATTCAAAATTCTTAACAGTTCACTAAAAGTAGGTACTTCAGTTGCAAGGTGCAGTTTATTGTGTATACTAGTGTTATGGAAAATTTGGAAGTGCCGTGTAAACGCCGAAAAATTGGCCCTTTAACAGAATGAAAAAACATTAATATTTAATTGTTTTAAATCATTTACAGACAAACGTTTTTGTGAAAGTGTTGATGAGACCGTTGAGTTAGTTTAGCAGTACACTTGGTGTTGGGAAATCTACGATTTACAGAGTTATTAAAGAAGAGAAATGTGGTAGTTTTCAAATGCCACGTAATGCTTCAGGGAAACCAAAATTTCAAATAGAATATCATTTTAAAGAAGGACTTCGACGGAAAGTGCATGAATTCTTCTTTAGACAAGAATTTCCAACATTGGATAAAGTTCTTGTCTCAGTTCGAGATGATAAGGATTACCCAGAAATGAGTCGAAGTACGTTATGGAAACTTTTAAAAGAAATAGGCTTCCGCTGGAAAAAGAATCCCAGAAAGTCTATTTTATTAGAAAGAAGCGATATTGTCATATGGAGAAGACATTTTCTAAGAACCATAAAGGAAAGGAGAAACCAAAAAAGAAAAATATTTTATCTTGATGAAACATGGATCAACGAGGGTCATACACCAAATAAATTTTGGCAGGATGAAACTGTTACAAGTCAAAGGCACACTTTTGTAAATAACTTATCTACTGGTTTAAACCCACCATCAGGAAAGGGACGCAGGCTGATAATAGTACACATTGGCAGTTCAGACGGTTTTGTTGAAGGTGGTTTATTAACTTTTGAATCAACTCGTACTGGTGACTACCATGAAGACATGAACGCCGATGTCTTTCAAGAATGGTTCGAACAAATGATAGATCTTCTTCCTAAGAACTGTGAAATAATATTGGATAATGCAAGTTATCACTCCAGACTTATAGAAGGACTGCCCACAACCAAGTGGTTAAAAAAAGACTTGCAGAATTGGCTGAGTTCAAAAAATATTACGTACCATCCAGGATCTATAAGAAAGGAACTTTATTCGTTGTGTGCCCTTCATAAAGAAAAATTTAAAAAAATACGAAATTGATGAAATTGCCAAAAATCGTGGAATGACAGTACTTAGATCCCCACCATATCATTGTGAATTAAACCGATTGAACTGGTATGGGCACAGATAAAGAGTGAAGTTTCAAGAAAAAATACCACTTTTAAAATTCATGATGTTAAACAGTTGTTTTTGGAGGCGGTAAATAATGTAAAACCTGAAAACTGGGAAAAGGCAGTAAATCACACTATTAAAGAAGAGGAAAAAATGTGGAAGCTGGACAATATTACTGATAAAATGATCGAACCAGTTATTATAAATCTTGGTTCTGAAAGTTCATCTTCTGAATCTGATTTGGATTTGTAACAAGTAGCTGTAAGTTTTATATTAATATTTTTATTCATCTATTTAACATACCTTAGACGGTTTTAAAAACTCTTTTTCTCTTTTGTAATTTTTAAAAATTAAAAAAAAATGTGAGTTTTTTAAAACCCTTTTTAATGTAGGCCAGTCAGTTTTAATATAGTGTGTGATAAAAGAGGTCACTTTTGTTTACATACACATAACACTTTATAATACTGAAATAAGTCATTTATTTTTTACAATTATTCAAAGTAATTTTTCAATTAATCTTGAGCACGCCCATGGAGTAGTCGGAGGTACTATTTAAAATTATGCTAATTACTCTCTCGTTCATAAAAATAAACTATAGCTACTTTTTGGGCTACTGCGCTGATCGAATGTATTCCCATGACGCTTCGGTAACACTTTCCATTTTGGTACTTGATAAAAAATCGGTTTTCTGTGAAATTTTCAGGCCGCAGTGATGCATACTTTTTATACACTTTAATGTAGTTTTGACCAATTATCGTAAAAGATCTAATTTGTCGTGTTTTACTTTTTGGGATTTTGATAATTATTACATTTTCTTTATCCTCAATGTCCACAGTCTTCATTTTTACCATTTCGCCGCATCGACAGGCGCCGGTAACCCCAATTAACAAAACAATCTGAAATTTTTTTATAATTTAGTAGAGTATACTACATGCTTTGCAATATAATTTTTTTTACCTTTAATCCTAAATACAACCTATCTGGCGCTTCAACAAAAATTTATCAAACTCATCTTTAGTGAAAACTTTAGACTTGTTTGCAGTATATCCTTCGCTTGTTTTTTTCAGAAAGGTAGGTAACTTTAAAAATTTGCTTATATCCACATTTTTCCATTGATAAAATCAAACTCGGATTTTATCATAGAGTATCGTGACCACATTGTAGAAGATTTCCATTTATTTTCATTTTCCATTATATTAAAATATGCCAGTAAAACGTCTTCGGTAACTTGCCGTACTCCTCTTGTATCGCACCACTCTTGGAAGTGCTTGTACGCTAACCGATAGTTTATTCCGGACTTGGAGGGCCCCAAACGTGCTACTGCATCATTAGCCGCGGACTCAATTTCGTTTATGTTTTCCATTTTCGCACTAAATTTGCGCTTGCGGTTGCAACAACAATAATAATTGCAAACAACTGTAACCAGGGAGACGCAAATCCCACCGACGACTTAATTGTTTTAATTTCTAACATATAGACGACTTTGATAGTTGTCACAGTTAATTTCGAGTAAAAATAGCGTATGAATTGTACTATTTATGGTTGAAAATTGCTACGTTTGAAGAAAAAATAGTATACTTTATTTGGCAAAGAAGCGACTTTTCTTGACTTGCCCTCTATTACGCGCCTCAGTTCGTTCGGCGCGTAATATCGGGCGCGTCAAGAAAAGTCATGCTTCTCCGCCTCATAAAGTAATATACTATTTTAATACAGGAGGAAGTTCTAATATGGGTCCCTTTATTTTGTTTTTCAAATTTTTTTTGCTCTTTGATGATAGTTAAGTATGTGGAATTAGACGTAACTTAGATTTAAAAATAATACTTCATAGTTATTTATTTCAAGAAGTTATGTGAAAACTTAAAAATAAAGTAAAATAAAAATTTCGTGAATATTTTAAAACTGCTCGGTGCGTTGGAAATATGGGCCCTTAATAAAAATCACAGACAAAAATGTTTTTTTTTAACAAAAAGACAAAAAAGTATACGAGACTGCTTATGGAAAAGAGTTTTATTTTAAAAATTATTCTACAATTGAATGCTCTCCTTTAATACATTCCCCTTCCCTTGCCACGCACCATTCCATTCGTTTTTTTCCATTGGTCAAAGCAATGCTGGAGGTCTTCTTTTATTAGAGCTTTTAGGAGCTCCGCCATTTTTCTCTTCACCTCTTCCATCGACTCGAACCGGATTCCTTTTAAGGCAGACTTGATTTTCGGAAGCAGGAAAAAGTCACGTGGTGGGGATTTCTTACGAACACGCTCTCACAGCGTTGCCAAAACTTTCAAATAGTAAGTTTGGTTTACCGTTTGACCCTCTGAACCCCAACAGTCATTACCATGCCGTTAATGCAAAAAAAAAACGATTTGCATGGCTTTAAATTTTGATTTCGATATCCTTGCTTTTTTCATTCTTGGCGCTGCGTAGCTACTGGGGTTTTCTGGGTCCTTTCCTGGTTTTCACAAGGCTAATACTTTAGATTTCCTCCATGATTTTAGAATTTCGCAGGTTTTGCAGCACGTGTTATAAAATTGCAAGATCCAGTTTTTTGCTCCTTGGCTTAAATGCTTCATATTTTCACTGCATATATCATCCACACCTGCAGCTTTTCCGTTTTTTAACCGGCCTTCTCCTAGTGTTTGAGTCCTTATATCGATTCGTAGTTCTTCCATTCATAAGGAATTGACTTGGTTTGCTGTAACCTTGCAATGTGATTTATGTTCTTTTGGATCACTGCTAGGTATTTTACAAGGAACCATGCTATTTTGCTACTATGTGTCATGTCCATTTTTTCCAGTGTCTCGATCCACTTTTCGTGCCTGGCTTGACTTAGCTGTTGGAGTAGTGTTCCGCAGTCAACCGTTTCTTGGCTAAAAGGGTCAGTGGAATAGAGGGCTTCGTATGTTCTTATTGGTTAGAAAATTTTACAAAAATACCAAAGCAATATTATCATCTTGTGGACGTTCTTAGCTCAGTGGTAAGATACTGGCCTTCTAAGCTAGGGCGCAAGAATTCGAATCTTGACACCAACAAATGACATTTTCATTTCTAAAAATGATACGAGCCGTTCACTGTTCTTCGAAGGGCACGTAAAGCCGTCGGTCCCGTCGGTAAAATATTGAGGAACATATTTTCTTTATCTTTGTACTGGCATTGTTCTTTTTCAGTAACGATTTCGTAACAAAAGTTTTAAGTCGATATATTTTTATTGTTTAAACTAGTGAATTTCAATTGTTTATAAATTATTTTTTATCTGTTTCAGGTTTAACTTATACTTGAAACTGATGTTTGCAATGGGTATAAACTGGATTACAGAATTAGTTTCGTGGGCTGTCGATTTTGCCTTTAGTAATACCCCTACTTTTGTATGGTATATAACTGACTTTACAAACGCAATGTACGGACTACTAATTTTCTTGATCTTTGTCGCTAAGAAGAAAATCTGGAGATCGCTTAAAAAGAAGTATGTACAGTTTTTCTATTTAAAAACTTTAGCTCAAAATGTTAATAAATTAATTATGCTGATATTCACGTTTTTTTGAAATTTTTAGCACCTTTACTAAACATTTATACATATACATCTGCATAATTTTTTTAAAGTTTTTTACGTAAATAGGCACTCTTTTACATATTTAAGGACAGGCTCACTATTTTATGTTTATTGAAATAATGTGACACTTATTACACGTCAGTGACTAACACTTTTTTACAGATGGAGCTGAAATATATTACTATATTTTTATATAATTAAGGAAGAATGTATAAAATTTGTTTTTCAGGTATCAATATCATTTTGTATTAATTTATATTACGATGGTAAACACAAAAAAGGTTAAAGAGTATATACTAGGAATATTGCCCAGTCTGGTTAAAAAAAAGGTCGAAAAATGTTTCGCAGATATCTGAAGCTTTTAAGATATAGGTGGGGGTTACTAGATGACGAATAGATGAAAAGATACTCGTATTTTTACCTCGCGTTTCTTTTTAACCATAATTTATGGTCACAATTTGAGTTTTTGTCTATAAGTTTTTTCCCTTATAGTTTACATAAACAATATTTATATCATTTTTTTTTATATCAAGAATATCTTTATTTTTCCGTTTTTTCAATTAAAATTGATAACTAATTTACGGAGATATTTGCAAAAAAAGCAGTTTTTTTTAAGCTGTTCCTAGTATAAAGATTTCACAGTCTTCTTTAATTTCAGAGGGTATTTCATTCATCTTGTTGTAGAAATCGTCTTTACTTTCTGGATCTGCATCTTCATTTGGGGCATACACTCCGACAATTTCGATGTTGTGCATATTCTTTTTCATTTCTAGTATAAGCAGTTGTTCATTTACTTTAGTCCACAATTTAAAATTGTTTTTAAGATTTTTTCAAAAGTCAATAGAGACTCCTCTCTTAGCTTGTTATCTTTACTCACTCCACTGTAGCAGACAAGAAAAAGAAAAAATATTCTTCTATCTCTTCATTTCCTTTTCCCTTTTTCTTGGTCTCAGTGAGAATACATATATCTATTTTTCTTTCTGCTAATTCGTTGAATACTTTTGTTTGTTTGGATGTAAGTCCTTGTACATTACATGTAGCCAATATCATTCTAGGAATCCAATTGTAGGTAGCCAATATCATGTAAGGAAAGTCAAAGAAGATAATGCAGAAACTCTAACTATTGACCAAAAATGGGGAAAAATTCAACATGCCCTTGTGTCAGTTGGAAAAGAAACCCTCAAACCACTTAAAGAAAAAACAAAACCTTGGATGACAGTAGAAATTCTTGAACTCATGGAAGAACGAAGAAAACATAAAGCAAAAGACCTGAATAAATACAAAGAAGTTCAGAGAAACATCAGAAAGAAAATTCGAGAGGCAAAAGAGATGTGGCTCTCCGATAGATGCAAGAAAATAGAAGATCTGGATAAAAAGTACGATAGCTTTAATTTACACAAAAAAAATCAAAGAAATGACAGGTTCTAGAAAGCGTACAAAAACGAATATCCTTAAAAATGATAAAGGGGATATTATTACTGATATGAAGGAGAGATTATGTCACTGGACCAATTACATTCAACAACTATTTAATGATGAAAGAGAAGAACTGTCATTAGAAATCACCGAGGATACTGGACCACCAATATTAAGAGAAGAAGTCATCTATGCCATCAAAAACACAAAAGAGGGTAAAGCTACTGGACCAGATGAGGTGCCCATCGAATTATTAAAACCCATCGATGAAGATGTTATTGATGTAATGGTTGAACTCTTTAATCTAATATATCAGACTGCCACAATCCCCAGACAATGGCTGCAATCAACCTTTGTAGCAATTCCCAAAAAACCAAGTTCAACAACTTGCTCAGACCACAGAACAATAGCTTTAATGAGTCACACACTTAAAACATTTTTGAAAATAATTCACAGCAGAATTGTTAAAACTCTTGAATATGAGATTAGTGACACACAATTTGGCTTTAGAAATGGTATGAGTACAAGAGATGCTTTGTTCGGCTTGAATGTGCTGGCTCAGAGATGCATGGACATGAATCAGGATATGTACTTATGTTTTGTAGACTTTGAAAAGGCATTTGATAAAGTTCAACATAAAAAGCTTGTAGATACATTAAAAAGCAAAAATATTGACAGTCGTGATCTGAAAATTATATCTAATTTATATTGGAATCAAACTGTCAAGGTAAGAGTTGACAGCCAGTACACCGAAAATATCAAAATACAGAGAGGAGTCCGCCAGGGTTGCGTGCTGTCCCCACTACTTTTCAATGTCTACAGTGAAGCGGTATTTCAAGAAGCGCTCTCAGACTCAATAGAAGGTATATCTATCAATGGAGAAGTTTTGAATAACTTACGTTTTGCAGACGATACAGTAATAATTACGGATAACAACAATGATTTACAGAACCTAATGCAACGCCTTAATGAACGCTGTCATGAGTACGGACTGAAGATAAATTTAAAGAAAACTAAATGCATGATCATGACTAAATCTGCACATGCAAATATCCAATTGACTATTGAAGATACTGCAATTGAGAAGGTTAATAACTATAGATATTTAGGAACATGGATAACATCAGATGTAGACCAAACCAAAGAAATTAAGACACGTATTGAAATAGCACGTACATCATTTATTAAACTTAAAAAGTTTCTTTGTTGTCGGGATATAAGGTTAGAACTACGCCTGAGAATGCTTCGACGTTACGTGTTCTCTACTCTTCTTTACGGTCTGGAAGCTTGGACACTCAAACAAGTTCATCTGAATAAGCTGGCCACCTTTGAATTTTGGTGTTACAGAAGAATCCTACGAATATCATGGATTCAAAGAATGTCAAACATGGAAGTAACTAGAAGGATAGGAAATGAGGTGGAAATAATATTAACTATTAAAAGACGAAAACTTGAGTACTTGGGACATGTGATGTGAGGCCAAAAATACGCATTATTACAACTTATTATGCAGGGCAAAATCCGAGGAAAGCGAAATGTGGGAAGACGAAGAGTATCCTGGCTTAAGAACTTAAGGAATGGTTTGAATGCAGTAGTGCAGAACTTTTTAGAGCGGCAGTCAACAGAGTCCGCATAGCCATGATGATTTCCAACCTTCGATAGAAGATGGAACTTAAAGAAGAAGAAGAATATCATTGTCTTTTTCCGTTGCATTAGTCGTCTTTGTTTTGATCCATCCTTTGTATTCCTAGGCTTTTGGTTGAAATTTTTAGCATTATAGTACAGTACGCAGAAGGATGCGGATGAGACAAGATATCAATCTATCAGAATTAGTAGCTGAAAATAAAGTTACTCAAGGTATACTAATAAAGGTTAATACAAGTTCTTGCTGAACTTGCTTGAGATATATTTGGAAGTCGTCGGTCATCGATAAAGTCCAATTAACGATGATATATGTCGATGATATGGTATTCATGAAATACGAGATATATTTTTAAGATGCCGGCCATCGACAAAGTCTAGTTAACTATGAGATATGCCAATGATATGGTGCTCATGAAAAAAATACTTCAATGCGTAAGCTTGTCAATAAAGTAGCAGAATTATGTAAAGACGGTGGGCAATGATAAACAACAGTAACTGTAAATATACCACCTCAATAAGTTCTATGCCTAATTAAGAACTAATAAAAGAACAAAGTTTTAGAAACTTTCGACCTTATTGAAAGGGTCTCATTATATGGGTCTTTTTTACCAATCTCAAAATAAAATCTTTTCTGTATAACAGTCTTCACAATAACGTTCGTATTTAATCCAAAATCTCTTTCTTTGAAGTATTTTCTGAAGATTTAGTAGACAGACTTAAAGAATACTATGGGTGCAAGCAATTAAAAATGCATTTTTTTAAAAGAACCAATAGCACTTGGCACATTTCTTCTTCTTTGTACCTATTTTTATCTTCTCCTTGGTTTTCCTTCCATCAACTCCTAAGAGTTATGTCCTTCATCCTACTTAGTTTTCATATAGAAGTCTCACATGACCAAACCATTGCAGCCTTAAGTATTCTATAGATCTAAGTGCTCTCAGGGTCACTATCTACTTGGGGTGACTCATCATCAACTAGCCTCTAACGTCCACTGCTGACCATAGGCCTCTCGCATGCTTTTCCACTTAGTCCGATTTTGCGCCATCTGAATCCAATTTGTAGTCACTCTTTTTATATCATCTGTCCATCTCGTTGGGGGTCGACCTCTATTTCTGTAAACATGTATTCGGGGTCTCCATTCCAAAATTCTTTTTGTCCACCGGTCATCAACTGATCTTGCTACATGACCTGCCCAGTTCCACTTTAGTGTTGTTATCCTTTCAATAACGTCTGCTACTCCTGATCTTTTGCGTATAGTAGCATTGGGTATTCTATCACGTAGAGAAATCCCTAACATAATTCTCTCCATTGCTCTTTCCGCAACTTGTAGTTTACTCACTGTTGTTCTTGTGAGCGTTAGGGTTTCCGCGCCGTAGGTCATGACTGGCAAAATACATTGATTAAATACTTTTCTTTTCAGACACATTGGAATCTTAGACCTAAAAATATCCTTCATCCTTCCAAATGCAGCCCAAGCGAGGTTTATTCTTCTTTTCAGCTCGATTGTTTGGTTGTCTCGACTTATTCTGATCTCATGGCCTAAGTATTTATAGGAGTCAACTGGCTCAATATCTTTGTCAGTTGGGGTGACTACAGTTTCAAAAAAGATTCAATATCAAAGATAGGGTAATAGAGGTTGTCAAAGACTGTGAGGCAGCGGTTTTCACGGGCCGTAAGCCGAGGATACCCGATAATACGTGGACTGTGATTCAACGCAGAAAAGAACATAAAACTATATACGAAACAAACGATGAATACAGAGCGTTATGGAAAGAAATCAGAAAACAGTGCCGCAAAGACAAAGCTGACTACATCTCTCAAATATGCAAAGAGATATTGTTCTGAAGCTATTT